GATAAAATAAATCCTAGGAAGCTTACTGTGGTGGTGTTCTTCAAGTCCTGAGGTATATGGTCAGTCCACCTTCTCTTTCTTTTTCACCTTTTAGAGTCATTTTGTGATTGTCTATTGAATTCTTTCCAGGTTATTTGGTTGTATTTAGAGAAGAAGGACAGAAAAATAGTGAATATACATCATCTTGTCTGGGAACCTGAATAGATTAAACTTTTCAAGAGACTGAAAAATTATTTTTCAAAATTTCAGACTATTTTATCACTTACACATCTGTAAGAATAGTGTATGAGTTATAGTTCTTTCAAATCCTCACCAATACTGGTATGGTCAATCTTTTTTTCTTAATTTTAAATATTTGAACACTTATGTAGTAGAATCATATTGTGTTTTTAATTTGTATTGTCTAATAAATGATAAGGCTGAGTATCTTTTCAAGTACTTATTTCCCATCTAATTATATCTTTGTACTGAACTGCCACAAGATAGTACAACCTATAGTACAATGGAAACGGGAATTTCAACTCTATTTTATTTATTATTTTATTTATTTTTAGAGATGGGATCTCACTATGTTATCCAGGCTTGTCTCAAACTCCTGGCCTAAGGCAATCCTCCCCGCCTTAGCCTCCTGAATCGCTGGGATTACAGGCATGAGCAAACACCGCTGACTTGCTGCTTATTTTTAGAAGTCTTTCCTAACACCCCTACTCTATATGTCTTTCTGACAACCTGGTCCAGTTGTTTTTATCTTACCTCATCTAATCATTGTTGTAGTTCTCAGCTTACTACAGTGCTACTTACTACAATACACTTTTCATGGACACAACCTTCTTTCCTCCAAAGGAGTATAAACCTCTTGTTAGAAGATATCATTTCTTGCATTTTTCTGAGTTCTCCTGCAATGTTTGGAGCAGTCTTTTATACACTGTAGACCTTTCTTAAGTACCCAGAAAGGGAGTCAGTGATTAAAGGGAAATAGTGAGTATATTTGTGGTGAGTGGTGTCAATGAAATCCAGAGCTATGCAGTAGTTAAGATAGCAAAATGTATTTTATTCAGGAGCCATTGCAATAGAGAAAAACAGATGTCCATTTAACAGTGGGCTTAATTTTGAATACAGTGTGGAAAAGCGGGGATCCATAGCCAAAGGATGGGTAGTGGAGTCAGTGAATATGACTCCACATCAGGAGTAAGGAGGAATTCTCACTGAACTGATCTAACAGAACACTTGCTAAAGACAGGTCAGGATGATTATATATTACCCAGAAGTTGGTGGAGGAGGAGGAATTTTATTAGATATTGAGCGTGACTGAATATCAATGGTAAGGGATTCTCTCCAACCTGACTTAGCAAGGTTCTTGCTACAACTAGGTGGTACAGACTCAACAAGGATGGACAATCTGAAGTCCAGTTGAGAAGAGAGCTTAGAGGAGTGTGACTAAAGTCTGGTCTAGGTGAGCACTTTTGTCAGCAAGAGAATGAATTGAATAAGCATTAGGGTTGCAAATTTTATTCACCCTCTCTGCCAAAAACAAAACATAAAGTAGCAGAAAGCATTGTTTATGGGCAGGATATAAACTCTGCAAGTTTAAAATCTCCAGAGACTCCCAGAAGAGTTTTACAAGTCACATGTTACACAAAGCACTGTAACTAATGAGAACAAATTACAAAGTTGGGTGAGGAAGTTATCTGCTTTCTCTGATGAAAGAGAGAGGACTCCCTTAGGATCTCCTAACCAAAACCAAACCTCTAGAGCTCAGGAATCTCAAGCGCTTATAATAATCAAACCATACCTCTAAATCCATAGAAAGGAGGTTCTAAACCACTGTAATTTAGTGGGCAGTGGGGGCTGATCACATCAGGTATGGCCTAACCTCACAACTCCTGTCACAGAACTCTAGAGCTGTAGAATATTACAGCTTGCATGAACTCAGGACCTTTTTTCTTACTTCCCATCTGGGGAAACTCAAATTCAGAAGATGCAGCAGCTTTCGCAATGTCACTAAGCTAACACCAATGTTTTTCATATTAAATCAATCTCTGTCTCTTTCGAGCGGTGAAAAAAGTATGCTTCCAGCGATATTGTGAAGATTATCTTTTGGAAGAATATAATCGTGACAGTGAATTGGCTTTGGAGCCTGATAAAATAAACGAGGTAGGAAACTATTCTAGATGGTTTTACTCTCTTCTCCTCATAACTAATTGTCACTACAAAAAGAAAGGGTCATTGGGATAAAATTACATATCTTTTCCATATCACCATTTCTCTTTGGAAAGTGTGTGTGCATATGTGTGTGTATATGTATGACACACATATATGTGTGTCATACATATGTCATATATATGTCATATGTGTCATATGTGTGTATATATATACCACCACATATATGTATATAACATATATATGTGTGTCAGTGGATTCATAACTCAAATTAAATTTGACACAGGTGGATTTAGGGACAACTTCAGAGATAGATGAGGTAGGGTGGGACATAATATCCTCACAACACATACACACACACACACACACAATCTTGCACACATTTGGAATATACCAGAAGTAGAGATTCTGACATTTATACTCTACTGCTGATGATTCACCAAGAAAATATTTAGCACACAGTCAAGTAAGGACTAGATAAGGAAAGAGCTATCTTGGAATTTGTATGGGTGATTATTTGCATTTTCAAAATGCTTATGAATTTAATGGTGACTTTAAAAACAGCACCTCCTCCAACCCCTTCGCTGCCTCCTAGTCTCTGCCTCAAATTCCAGGGCTGTGGTGGAAGAGGTAGAACACGTGTAAAATCAGACTGTTTTTTCTGGTAGTATGTTAGAAAAAGCTTGGGTTTTGTACCAAGGACATCAAGTACTAAAATAACTTATTGCTATGCTAATCTGTTTCATATTTTCCCTTTGCTATATTTAATCCTTTAGTTCTAGAATCCACATAATTTCCTTTCTTACAGAGTTACTGGGACGGGTCAAGAGTGCTTTGGAGCCTTGGTGTGTGAAGCACTCTACTGATAGGAGGAATTTTTTACAGTGGCTTAGGAATAAGTAGAAGGAACCTATTGAAGCCTAATACTTCTGGAAGGAAAAAGATGCCTCTGAAATAGTTGAAAATGTAGCAGAATGCTGATCATAGAGAAAAGTGGAGCAATCATCTACAAGTAGATTTGGAAACCAAAGATACTCATACTGAATGTGGTTACTAAAGAGGCTCACACCAAAAGGCCTCACGAGGACGCCCCGGGTTTTAATAGAAATGGTCCTCTATAATGTTCCCTTAGGTAAGAGAACAGAAAAATGATCTTCTTATTGAGAAATAACTGCTCACTAAGAAGAATAGATACAGTGAGTGAAAGGGAAACAGAATAGAGAAACATTTGATAGGAGATAAGAAAAGATTAAGTCATGTGATTCATGTATGACTGTCAGAGAGTAAGAATCTTATAAGGTCTAAGAAGACAAAGCACCAAAGGCGCCTTTAAAGTAGAGTCCAGAGGGTTGTGGATTATTTCAGGAGCCACTTACAATTCAGACCATTTTTCTACTGTGTCTTCTGACTCTCAGTGATAAGTTAGACTCTGCCATAAGAATGCTTAATCTTAGCCTAAACAAGACTTAATTAGAGTGGAAAGTCTGTTAACCTCCATGCTCAAACATCAAATGCTATGCAGTGCTGAATAACAAAGGAAAACAAAAATCATTTATATACTAACCACTTTTTTGATGATTAACTCATCCATCTAACATTCGCCAGGAATTATTACCTTCTTAAAGTGTTCTGTATTATTACTCTGAAAAATACAAAAATATAAGACTTACAGTCCCTTTCTTGAAGCACTCAGCATTGATAAATGAAAAGAATATACAGTTCAAGTCAAAAATCTTTGCATCTAGTCTCAAATATGCCACTTCTGAGACACAATTTTATTTTTAAAATAAGTAATCACATTTGTCCTACCCATTTCACAGCTGTCCCATGCACTTTATATTTATGCTGTGAAGAGTAAAATCAATAAACATTTGAAATAGTTTGGAAAAATATAAACCTCATAAATGCTAGTTATTAAATATGTTGACATATGGGGCAGAGAAAACAGTAGCTCAGTATACTACAGGGTTGAAACAATGTGTCAAATATAAGGACAAACAACATGCTATAAAAATCAGAGAAGTATGCGATTAAATCAGATGTAACATTATTGAGAAATTTATACAATTATTAAATGCCACTTATTTTCTTTGAATGCTGAGCTTGGAATTAACAAAATAGACACAATCTCAATTGCCACCTGCACTACGCTTGTGTAGTCTGCTTATCAAACCATCCACAGATTTAATTAATTACTATTAATCCTAAAGGTCCTAGGCTTCCCTATCTTTCTTCTTTCCCTCTTCTCAGAGTAGAAATAATGACACTTTTTTTTTTTTTACTTTCCTTTAAAATTCTAGGACCTAAATATATTCTCCAAGAAGGGTTAATGACTTTGGGTTTCTCCAGCATTGCACGTCATTGTCCAAGTTTTGTCCTAAAATTACTTGGAAATCAATTCTCGATATTTACACGGTAAATATTTATAGACCATACAATGTGTGGAAGTTTATGTGTTGGACCCTGACTCTGTCTATTATCCACCTAAAAGTTTTCTCTGTGTTCAGAAGCTCATCCAAATAAAGCTCACCTAATGCATCTGAACCTCCTTTATCTGAGCATCAACTGGAGTGTTTCCTCCCATATTATATCACCTGCTCATAAAATCCTTTTAAAAATAGGCCAGAGCAAGCCTTCTTGTCATATACATAGTGATGTCATATACTAAGTCATCACTAATTAGCCGCTGAATAAAGGAAACAATGAATGGATGAAAAATGAGAAAAACACATTATCTACATATAAATAGTTTTGCTAAACTACATGAAAAAGCAGTGGTAATTGTAATTCTGATGATTTATCTTAGTCATCACAATTTTCATTTGATGGTATCATTCAAAAGTTGAAGATTTATTGTTGTTTCTTTCAAATTTCAGACATTCAAATGATGAAGATCAACCAGACAGTCCTGAAGGAATTCATTCTTGTTGGCTTTTCTGTGTACCCACATGTACAGACATTTCTTTTTGTGGTCTTCTTTTGTCTCTACCTTCTCACCCTTGCAGGTAATCTGACCATCATGGGCCTAACCTGGGTGGACAGGTCCCTCCACACCCCTATGTATCTCTTCCTTTGTTCACTCTCCTTCTCTGAGACCTGCTACACACTGACCATCATCCCAAAGATGCTGAAAGATCTACTGGCCAAGGACGGAAACATTTCAGTTATAGGTTGTAGCTTACAGATGTGCTTCTTCTTGGGACTTGGTGGTACACACTGTATCATCCTCACTTTGATGGGATATGACCGCTTCCTTGCCATCTGTAACCCTCTAAAATATCCACTGCTTATGACCAACATTGTATGTGGACAACTTGTGGCCTCTGCTTGGGCTGCAGGCTTCTTTATCTCTCTTACAGAGACTGCACTGATATTCAGGGGCTCTTTCTGCAGATCCAACCTTGTCAAACACTTCTTCTGCCATATGCGGGCAGTTATTAGGCTCTCCTGTATAGACAGTAATCTGACAGAATTCATTGTAACATTGATCTCAGTGTCCGGCTTGCTGGGTACCTTTCTGCTCATCATCCTGACTTATGTCTTCATTATTTCTACTGTCCTCAGGATTCCTTCAGCTGAGGGCAAGCAGAAGGCCTTCTCCACCTGTGCCTCCCATCTCACAGTGGTTATAATCCACTTTGGTTTTGCATCTATTGTTTATTTGAAGCCAGAAGCCTCAGGAGATGACACACTCATAGCAGTCCCTTATACTGTCATTACCCCCTTCCTCAGCCCCATCATATTCAGCCTGAGGAATAAGGACATGAAAAATGCTTTTAGAAGAATGATGGGAAACACAATTGCCTTGAAAAATAATCTTAAGTTGTTGCTGCTTGTTTGAAGAATGGCTCAATGTCCCCAGAATTCAATAGGGGCATTTATCCTGTGACCTCTGGAGAAACCTATACCATTTGCCTTGTTCCAGAGGTTGGGATATAAAAAGCAAGTGACTCAGACTGGGAACTAAGTCAACACAGGCATCTACTTAGCTTGTTAGAGAAGCTGTTCAACCCTTCTACTATCCAGTGTCAGAAGAAGAATGTCCCTGCAGATATAAGATTCTGATAATCAACTTCCAGGTGTCCTGCACTATTCATGAATTGAGTAAAAAGCATGGAAGGAAAAAATAGCATATAAAAGCACTGCACTGAGAGATGTTTTAAATATCTAAAGATGTCAACCATGGCTCAGGCTTGTAAAACAGCATATAAAACCATTGCACTGAGAGATGTTTAAATATCTAAAGATGTCAACCATGGTTCAGGCTTGTAATCCCACCACTTTGGGAGGTCGAAGTGGGCAGATCACTTGAGGCCAGGAGTTTGAGACAAGTCTGGCCAACATGGTAAAACCCCATCTCTACTAAAAATACAAAAATTAGCTGAACATGGTGGTGGGTGCCTGTAATCCCAACTACTCGGGAGGCTGAGGCAGGAGAATAGTTTGAACCCAAGAGGCAGAGTGAGCAGAGATCATGCCGTTACAATCCAGCCTGGGTGACAAGAGCAAAATTTCATCTCAAACAATAATAACAACAACAATAATAATAACAATAAAAGATGTAAGAGTTAAGGATTTTTTTTAGGCAAAAGCTATGAAGCACTGAAATGCACCTCCCATGAGACAAATCATTCTTGATAAGAGATGTAAGAGTATTGATGTAATTTTGAGTTCTGTTACTTATGGGAATGTTATGAAATAAATGAAATGATGGATAAATTTATTTTGCACATTAACTGATTAAATTTATCCCTGACCATGACACTCTTTCTTTGGGATTATTTTCATGACACAAGTGCAGACAAAAATCTCTGCTACCTTCAATCTGCAGCCATTACTTAGTGGCAAGCATTTTGTTTTACTTTGGTTCCACTCCTGACAATTGGTTATTCAATCTAGGGAAGCTAAAAGTCTCAAAAATAAATACTATTTACTCCCTTATTATGGATGCAGAGGATGTTACGTCAAGTCTAGACTCAAGATCCTGAACCTAAATTTGGATCAATTAGCCTGCTTGTGCCTGATATAGTGACTGTGGTGGGGATTGCTAGTTGCCAGAAATAAGTAAGTAAATGGAAGCTGAAAATACCCAAAGACTCATGCCCATATGGGCACTTGCTTTATGACAAGTAAAGCATTTCAGTACAGTGAGAAAATGATAGACTTTCAATATAACTGATGCTAGGAAAATAACATATCCATATGGGAAAAACAAAATCTGAAAAAAAAATCAATTTCAGGAAATCGAAAACTAAATTTGAGAAGTGAAGCAATAAAACTTTTAAAAGCTAATTAAGAAGATATCTTCACCAACTTGGGATAGAAAATACTGTTTAAATTGTATGTAAAATTTTTGACTAAAGTGAAAAAGTCAGATTAAATCAAAATTGAGACATTTTATTCATCAAAAACACACTATTGAGAGAGTGGAAAAGAAAGCCAAATCATATAGCTATAAAGAAATTTCAGAGTGATAAGTATGAAATTTAGGATCATAATTACTTTTAGAAGGAGGGTCTGTGATTGGGCAAGGCGAGGGTCACATGAAAAACTCCTGGGCCAGGCGTGGTGGCTCACACCTGTAATCCCAGCACTTTGGGAGGCTGAGGCAGGCGGATCACCTGAGGTCAGGAGTTTGAGATCAGCCTGGCCAACATGGCAAAACCCAGTCTCTACTAAAAATACAAAAATCAGACAGGTGTGGTGGCGTACGCCCGTAATCCCAGCTACTAGGGAGGCAGAGGCAGAAGAATCGCTTAAACCAGGGAGGCGGAGGTTGCGGTGAGACAAGATCGTACCACTGCACCTCAGCCTGGGCAACACAGGAAAAACTCCTGATGGTCTAGGTAGTAATTGCAAAGGGTTTTGCTCGTGAAAGATTCACTAAGCTGTGTATTTGTTTAGATAATTTTCTGTGTTTACATTTTATTTTATAATGTAAGGATTAAAGCAATGCACAGAAAGAGAAAAAAGTCTGTGACATGTAACTGGCAAAGCCCTCGTTTGGTATATACAGTCATGCGTCACTTAACAATGAGGATGTATTCTGAGAAATGTGTCACTTTGTGATTTTGTCAATGTGTAAACATCACAGAATGTACTTACACAAACCTACAACGCACATAGACTGTATGATATAGCCTAATGTTCCTAGGCTACAAATGTGTACAGCGTGTTACTGTACTGAATACTGCAGGCAATTCTAACAGTAGTGTTTATGTATCTAAACATATCTAAGGATAGAAAAGGTACAATAGAAATACGGTTTTATCCTCTTGGGAAACCATCACTGTCTTTGTGGTCTGTCATTGACCAAAACATTATTGTGTGGTATATGGCTGTATAAACAATTGCTAAAAGAAACAAAATTCTCAAAAAATAAATTAAAAGACAATAGAAAAATTTCTAAGAGATGCAAATAGATCTCTTATAAAAGAGAATATCCAAATGTTCAATAAATACCTTAAAAGGTGCTGGGTCTCATTAGTAAGCATGAAAATGAACGTTAAAACCCCAATAATAATTTAAAAAATCTCAATGAGGTATTACTACATACTCACTTGAATGGCTAAATTTAAAAGGCTAGATTAGAAATACCATTTGACCCAGCCATCCCATTACTGGGGATACACCCAAAGGATTATAAGTCATGCTGCTATAAAGACACATGCACACGTATGTTTATTGCAGCACTATTCATAATAGCAAAGACTTGGAATCAACCCAAATGTCCATCAGTGACAGACTGGATTAAGAAAATGTGGGACATATACACCATGGAATACTATGCAGCCATAAAAAGGAATGAGTTCATGTCCTTTATAGGGACATGGATGCAGCTGGAAACCATCATTTTCAGCAAACTATCGCAAGAACAGAAAACCAAACACCGCATGTTCTCACTCACAGGTGGGAATTGAACAATGAGATCACTTGGATACAAGAAGGGGAACATCACACACTGGGTCCTATTGTGGGGAGGGGGTAGGGATAGCATTAGGAGATACACCTAATGTAAATGAAGAGTGAATGAGTGCAGCACACCAACGTGGCACATGCATACATATGTAACAAACCTGCACATTGTGCACATGTACCTTAGAACTTAAAGTATTAAAAAAAAAAAAAAAAAAAAAGCCAATGAGGTGCTACCACATACTCACTTGGATGGCTAAAATTAAAAGTCTAGATTAACGAGTGTCAAAAAAGAAACATGAAGCAACAGCAACAAGAACCCTTCAGTGCTTTTTTTTTTTTTTTGCTTTTTTTTTTTTTTTTGAAATAAGTCTTGCTCTGTCAACCAGGCTGGAGTGCAATGCTGTGATCTCGGCTCACTGCAACCTCCACCTCCCAGGTTCAAGCAATTCTTCTGCCTCAACCTCCCGAGTAACTGGGATTACAGGTGCCTGCCACCACACTTGGCTAATTTTTGTATATTTAGTAGAGACAGGGTTTCACCATGTTGGCCAGGCTGATCTCAAACTCCTGATCTAGATGATCCACCCGCCATGGCCTCCCAAAGTGCTGGGATTACAGGCATGAGCCAACAGTGCTCTTAATAAGAGTGTATACTTGTTCAGTCATTTTAGAAAACAGTCTAGTATTATAAACTTATTTTGGAGATTCTCATACCCTGTGGTTAAACTTTTCTACTCTTATGTGTATGCCCTAAAGAATAGTCGGCACATGTGTATCATAAGACATACATAGATGTCCTTAGACACAATATTTGCAAAATGGCAAAAGCTGAAAATTACTCAGCTAATATACTACAGAATAGATAGAAAAATTATGGTATATTCATGTATGTAACAGCATGTAGTAATAAAAATGAATAAACTATAGCTATATACTTCAGCATACATGTGAAACTCTTTTTTTCCTCTTTATATCATATCTTTCTTCTATAATCTAAGATATTATTATAATTCAAGACTTTATCTCTGACCCAATTTCTCATTAGGGTTTTCTAAATTTTTATACCCAAGAAATTTCCTTAATGGGAAGAAATGAAAATATTCTCTCCTGTCAATAAGCAATATAGTAAGACATTAATGAAGAATCAAAATAGGAGATAATTTACTTCTGTTCTGCATTAAATGTAGATTGCTTTTTGTGAAAAAATATCCATTTGTCTCTTCTATATGTATGAAAAACTCATTCTGTTCAAGACACTACACTAACCATGAGGAAAACAAAAACACACAAGACATATTTTTTTCTCTCAAAAAACTTACATTCTACTAGTGAGAAGGCTAAGAAATTATGATGTAATATGAGTTAAGGGTTATACAGATTTATGGCAGCACTCAGGAGATATAGTACCCACATAAGATCACTATAGAATTTACCCATATTGTTGGCCAACATCCCCAGAATAGACTGTTCTACCTGAATATCATTTAATACATCCTCTAAACAGGAAAAAGAAAGGGCCAGGAGGAACCCTCTTTGGGTAATAACAAATTGCAAACTCTGACTTCAGTAATCATTCCTTCAAAGAAGTCTGAATTTTATTGAATTACTCAGTAGAGAAATTTATGTTCTAGGGCATTTTGGAAACAATGGAGAAATCAGCAGGTAATTATTAGATTAAAAGCTGGATGTAGTCAGGAAAGGGGACAACATAAGCTCTGCCAAAATTATTGTCACCCCAAGGTGACTAGGCAGATGTGTGTCCTCTGAAAAGCAACATCAAAGACTTAACACAGCAGAAGTATAGGGGAGGATAAACTTTACAAAAATAATCCAGCCAGTCACTGAACAAGTAAGTAAGCAAATAATGAAAGCAAGACCTAGTGGGGAGAGAGGGGAGAAAGACCAGTAACCAGAGTTTCTAAA